GAACAATAAATTTTGGCGACCTCCCCCTCCCCTCCCCCCTCCCCGTCGCCAAAAAAATTTCGGTCAGTGTACCATTTTAGGGGTCCAAAAATTTTTCGGACATACCAAAATTTTTCGGAACATCAAACAAATTTTCCCAAACATCACAAAATTTCCCGCAAAATTGGCAGAATTTATCCCATTTATTTTTATAATAACCCAATATTGCCCGACTGTGAAGCGAATATTGCTCAACTAGCTTGGTTTGCCCAACAAACTGGGGTTATTATTACGAGAGATTTTATTGCTTTGACTACTTTTTCCCCGACTTTTGTTGAACATTTGCCCGACTTTTCGACTTTGTAATCTTTTGGGGGGGGGGGCAGCTGCCCCCCCGGTCCCGTACGCCTATGCGCGCGATGGAGGTTTAGTTAAATATAAAACATGATACATATTCGTCAGATACTGTATCTGAATTTGCGCATTAATGTTACTTACAGAATTTCCAGTTTGTCTATTTGAAAGACATCATTTTCAAGCCACGATAAGCTGTTATAAGATAAATCCCTGGAAGCAAGCACATGTAAGAAAATCATTAAAAACGATAATTTTAAATGGGTTTTTAGAAGATGGAATTTTGGAATGAAAATTTCTATACAATTCTAGGCCTACCGGGAGCGAAAATGCAACTTTAGGCCCTCCGTGGGAGGAATCGAACTCGGTTAATGCCGTACACTGAGACTATAGACGGTACCGTTCAATATGACCTAGAAATCTAACTACAGACGGTACCGTTTCGGCCTTATTGGGCCTCATCAGTGTAGTGCTGATGAGCAAGATGAAAGTAACTGCTATTTACAGTTACCTTTGATGCCTCACGATTGTGGGACATCCAAACCATGCCAGAGCGCTCAAACTGCAAGCAGTGAGCGTGCGCAATGCGTAAGCGGCATGGCTCATCCTGTAGAGCGCTCAATATGACCTAGAAATCTAACTACAGACGGTACCGTTTCGGCCTTATGGGCCTCATAGCAGTTACTTTCATCTTGCTCATCAGAGCAAGATGAAAGTAACTGCTATTTACAGTTACCTTTGATGCCTCACGATTGTGGGACATCAAAACCATGCCAGAGCGCTCAAACTGCAAGCAGTGAGCGTGC